GAGCAGACGGGCACCCTCCCGCGACTGCTGGCCTGTGAAACGCCCCCGCCTTTTGCAGCGCGATCTGGCATCCCCTGGCCAAATGCAGACGTGCCCTCACTTCGCAGGTGTTTGCCCAGCGCCCACCACGTGCCAGACGCTGCTCCTGGCGCCGGGCACCGCCGTGAACAACACACTCGGGGCGTCCGCCGGAGGCAGCGCCCGGCCGGTGGGGGGGACAGACGGAGTAAACAGACCATTGCAATGCAAAGGGAGGCGTGCTTTGATGAGGGAGTGGGGGCCAGACGGGCCGCTGCGCGGGCCAGAGGCGGGTCACCTGACGAGGGGTCGTGGAGACTTCCAGAGGAAATGGAGACATAACAAGGGGAAAGGCCCAGGTAAGAACCAGTCGCTACTTCAGGGGAACCCCTGGGTAGGGTCGAGGTGGGCAGGCCCAGAGGGCTCAGGTTTCCCTGGCTTCCGAGCTTCCGAGGAGTTTGGATTTTGCTTCAAGGGCACTGGGGAGCTACAGAAGGATTTTCAGCTGAGGGGGGACCTGTTTAGAGTTTCCTTGAAAAGGAGCACTCTGGGAAGGTGCGAGAGAGAAGTGGAGAGGGGGAGGGCTGAGGCTGTCTCCCACCTCCCTGAGGGTCACCTCTCGTGTGTCCTCTGTGCTAACGTGGCGGCATACAGGACCCTGACTGAGGCATGTGGGGGCCAGCTGCACCCTCATCCGGGCCCCCCTGCGAGACGTGTCAGGCCCGGCAGGTGGACACATAAGTGACCCACACAGGCCCCCCCATACTTGTTTCCACTCGTGAAGGACTGTGAGAACCGCCAAGTCCCTCTGCTCACCAGCTAGAAGAGCAGGACTCCTTGTGTTCTGGTCATAGGTGCCATGGAGGACAGCTGTGGACAAAACCATCCGCCCCTCCCCCTCATTGTAGCTGGGGGGGGTTGGGCAAGCATTACGCAGAGCACACCCTCCCCCCCATGTCAGTCGGATTCCTATCAGGACTCTCCCTCCCCCTCTGCCCAAAACCTCCCGGGCGGGCGCCTGTCTCAAAGTAAAAGCCAAAGTCCTCACCGGCCAACACCGGCTGCCCTGACACCTGCTGACCTTGGCCTGAGCCTCCCTCCCCCACACACGATGAGCCCACCCGCTCTTCTTTCTGTTTCTGCAATAGCCCTGGCGCCCTGGCACCTGCCATCCAGCCTCCCTCCCCCAGGCCTCTCTCCCCCTGGCTCTTCACCTGGCTGGCTGCTTTTCGATCCTTGTTTCAGCAGCAACTTCACCAACTTCTCAGCCTCATAAGTGATGAGAGAAATGCAAATTCAACCCCAGTGAGCCACCGTTTCACGCCCACCAGAAGGACCAAAAGCCAAACGTTGGTCAATATCAGTGTTAAGGGGACGTGTCAATCGTCCGCCACTTTAGAGAAGAGAAGTTGGGCATCAGCTGGTAACAGGTGATATCCTCTCCCAGCAGGTCTGACCCCAGGCCCACTGCACCCCAGGGGTTCTCAGCTGGGGCTGCACAGAAGAGCCCTATAGGGAATGGCTGAAATGCCTGAGCCCAGCCCCACCCCCACCCACATCTTGATTTAATTAGTCGGGGTGGGGCCTCTGGCATCAGCATTTTTAAAAACTTCCCTGGTGATTCTAATGAACAGCCAAGGTGAAGACTGGCTGCCAGCCCCAAACCCAGAAGAAACAAGGTAATATTCATGGCTTCCTTGTTTCTAACACAAAAAAAACAGGACAAAAACAAAAACAAAAGCCTGGATACAATGCTAGTGTTTATCAACCCTAGAATGGGTTAATAAACCATGGTGCAGGCCAGGTGCGGTGGCTCACGCCTATAATCCTAGCACTTTGGGAGGCCAAGGTGAGAGGATTGCCTGAGCCCACGGGTTCAAGCTCAGCCTGGGCAACTTGACGAGACCTCATCTCTACCATAAATCAAAAAATTAGCTGGGTGTAGTGGCCTGTGCCTGTAGTTCCAACTACTTGGAAGGCTGAGGCGGAAGAATCGCTGGAGCCCAGCAGGTTGAGGCTGCGGTGGCTGTGAGCATGCCACTGCACTCCAGCCTGGGTGACAGAGTGAGACTCTGTCAAAAATAAATAAATAAAATAAACCGTGGTGCAATCCTGTGATAATAATGGAATACTATACAGCAACAAAAACGAACCACAGCGCCACGCAACAGTCAGGCATAAATCTCAAACACATAATATTGAACAAAAGCAGACACAAGTGGATGTCTGCAGTGTTAGGGGTTTATGTAAGGTTTCAAAGCAGGCAAATCCGATATTGTTCAGGGACGTCTGTGGAGGTGGAAATAGTAAAGAAAAGCCAGGAAATGTTTAATACAAAATTAGAGAGTGGTTGGTGGGGGCTGGGGTGAGGAATGGCTGCCAGGGAGGTTCTGGAAATCCGGTAATGATCCGTTTCCTAAGCAAGGAGGGATGTTTGTTATGAGTCTTTAAACTGTGCAAAGACATTTAAACACTTCTGGGTCTGAAAGATATATTTAACACACAAAACATTAAGTCACCTCCTCAAGGGAGCCTTCCCCTATCACCTTAGCCAAAGTAGGACCCACCCACCCCAGGCACCCCCTTTCTATCCCATGTTCTGTTTTCTTCAAAGCACATCATGGGCTCAGTCAGGTGCTTGCTGGATTAGTTCTCTTCTCCACTTCTTCCTGGCTGGGTGATCCTGAAGGAGTTACTAGCCTCTCTGGGCCTCAGTTTCCCCAATTGCAGAGTGGGTGTCCTCTCTCCTGAAGATACGGGATGGCTCAGGGAGGCTCTGAGGCTCAAAGCACCCACTGCCTGGGTCCCCAGGCTCCATATGTTCCTCCGCTCCTCCGGGCCCATGCCAAGGTGGGGGGGTCTCAGATCCGGTCTTGGACCTGATTGAATGAGCCCCGCCCAAGCCTCCCTCCCTCCCGGAGGCAGGAGAGACCAGGAGGCGGGAGGAGGCTCTGGGCGAGTGCAGGCCACCTCGCAGGGCTAGGCGAGGTGACACTTTTGGTACTGTGGTGTCAGGGCCTCTTGGAAACTGGCGACCTCGGCGCGTCGCGGCTTTCCCCCCTTCCCCCCCCAGGGGTCCCGCCCCAGGCCCGGGACGCGGTCCTCCGGCGCCCTCTGCTGGCCCAGTCGCCTCCCTGAGACCATCGCGGGGTGCTGGGCACACGCGCCTTGGGCAGGAGAGGGTGAGTGTGGAAAACGGGTACGACTGCCTGGGAGAACGGTTTGGGGGTATTTACTGTGACCGGGAAAGGCTTCTGGAGGGAAGGTACATGGTGCTCTGTTTTTGAGTCGGGGTCTCAGTCTGTCGATCAGGCTGGAGGACAGTGGCATGCTCACGGCCACCGCAGCCTCCACCTGCTGGGCTCAGGGCATCCTTCGGCCTCAGTCTTCCAGGTAGCTGGATCTACAGGCACGCACCACCATGCCCAGCTCATTTTTTGATTTACTGTAGAGACGAGGTCTCACCACGTTGCTCAGGGTGGTCTCAGGCTGGTCCCTGGGCTCACTTAGGCAACCCTCTCCCCTCCAACTCCCAAAGTGCTGGAATTACAGGCATGAGCCACCGCCGCACCTGGCTGGCCAATTTCAATGAATGTCCTGTACACACATTTTTGCGTTTCAGGCCAAATGGCATGTTATAGGAAAGTTGGTATGTTTGTCCAAATGTCCTCCAAAGAGGTTTAAAGGATATTCCTGCTAGCAGGGAGTCAAGGGCCCCTTTTCCAAACAAGGCCAACACAGGGTACTGTCTACAGGTATTTATTTATCTTTTTTTTGTTTTTTTGAGTTGGAGTCTCACTCTGTCACCCAGACTGGAGTGCAGTGGTGGCTCCCGGCCACCGCAGCCTCGACATGCTGGGCTCCGGCGATCCTTCCGCCTCAGCCTTCCAAGTAGCCGGAATTACAGGCATGCGTTACCACGCCTGGCTGATTTTTTTTTTTTTTTATTTATTGTAGAGATGAGGTCTCGCTGCCCAGGTGGTTCTCGAACCCATGGACTCAGGCAATCCACTCACCTCAGCCTCCCAAATGCGCGGGATTACAGGCTGAGCCACCGAGCCTGGCTCCAAGCCAGTCTTGAACCCCTGGGCTCAGGTAATCCTCCCACCTCAGCCTCCCAAAGTGCTGGGATTACAGGCATAACCCACCCCGGCCGGGCCGAACTTCTTAATATCTAAGAGCTCTTTATTAGGCTACAGGCCCCTGTTGAGATCATTAATCAGCGAATGAATCATTCAAGAGTTGGAGCCTTGATCTTGATTTGAAGGAAGATATTATCTACAGAAAGTTGAATGAATGAGTCAAAGCTCAATTTCCACCCCATCCTTGATTTGAAAAACAAAACCTCTCACACTTGCGTAAAAATAAACAGTGATCCAGCCCAGGCCTTATCCAATCTGCTCTCAGCCCGAAGTCACCATTCCAGGATTCAGGTTACCTCTGGGGACGTTGCTCTTCGGGGAGCAAGATGGGGGCCGGGCTCCAGGTAAGGTGCATAGGCCTTTTGTTGCCATTTCCTGAGCACTTGCTTCCTGCCGACTCCTGTAGGAGGCTGGTCCTCAGGGTGTCCCTGTAGTCTCCC